AAACTGCTAAGGAAAACTGTTTACTCTAAAGGCACTAGCAGTCACAAAAGAACAGAAAAAGCCAAACTGCCTGAAACTGTTTGAAAACTGCTAAAAATTCGCAAAACTGCTAAAGAACTACCTAATAACTGCCTATATAGGCAGTTTGATTTTCCATGGGAGAAATTCTGAACAAAGTTATTTTTAACTGCACCTCTTGACCACAACTTTTCTATTAGAAGCATGCAAAACTTGCAGTTGCAGTGAAATTTTCCTTATGGTTGGGTAATTATAAATAATATAATCAGTTTTTAGAATATTGAATGGTTTACATTTATCATGTTTATTTAATATATATATACCACTAGTCTGTCTAGTTCACATAGATTTTACATGACCGGACCACTCAATTACTAGACTGGGTCAACTGTCAGAATGTTTGGTATATCTGATCAAAGTTTTGTTTGCCATTATCATGTATATTGATCTAAATGGGCATGTATGCATGCTTGTAAGCTTTTCAAATTTTTATCTCTTCTTTTGAACCACTGAGCAACTTAGTTTCAACAAAAAACTTGGGTAATGGTTCAGGGATATCAAGTTCTTGTTTATAGCATCTAGTAACAGAGTAAATTGCACAGTTGAACCTATGCAAAGCTATTGCTGTTTTTTTTCCCTGTCTGTTTTGCATTGCTTATAGACCTTTGAACAATTAAAGCTTTTTGAAGAACAAATTTCAACAGTTTTTGATGTGTAATATTATGGATAAAGGGAAACAAAATTATTTCTTTCTTCCAACCCCCACCCCCTTTCCACTGCTGACAGCACTACTGGACCAAAAAAGTGCTGAGAATCCCAAATGTTACTGATAATGTTTGATAATTACTGATACGGTGCTGTTCTTGCTGATAAATACTGATATTTACTGTTATTATTACTGTCGTTGCTGATAATTTTAGTTGTTTCTGATAAATACTGATAATTACTGTGGTCTTTACTGTTGAGTCTGATAAATACTGATAAATACTGTTGATGTGCTGTCGATGTTGAGATTTACTGATAATTACTGTGGTCATTGTTTTTAATCTGGGAATGGACTAAAATTGCCTAAGAAATGATTATTTGTTTAAAAAGAAAGTATTTTATCAACAAATTCATTACAGTATTCTAACAAAAAAAATATTCTAGAAAAAAAGTCACATTTTATTTGTTTTTAAATTTCATGTATTAATTTTATTATAATCATTTTTACATCATAATGTTAAAATAAGATCATAAATGTTTGTGTTTTTCTTTATCTTTATATTTCTCCTTTCACAAAGTTTTCAATATCTGCGGAAAATAATAATTGTGTTGTTATTGCAATGGTTTTTCTCCCCAAGTACTTTTTAAAACAAGTTTTTATTTTAAAAGGTTAAAAAAATCCCATCTCATATTTTTCCACGTGTATTTGTATTGTCATCAAAAGCTTTTAGAGGGCATCTTTAATATAGTCAATGGTTGTTATTGTCAATTTATTTTTTCGTGTGGAGAACTGAACATGTATGAGCTCTATAAGTTGAGACACCCCCCCCCCCCTTTATTTACATACAACTCTCATTTTAAGAAGACACTTTAGCCAGCATTAAATATATCTCACACAAAAATCTATTCTGATTTTATGTTGTGTACACTATGTCCTTTTATTGAAGAATGTGACAGGTTTAAATAGTAAAAATAAAACATCTTTAATTTTGCAGAATAATCTCTTTCATTTATATACATATAGCCAGTGCGTTCTAGTTTTCTGATTATGTCCTCGATGCGAATTTGATATCATTGTGTGGTATCGGCGCTTTCAATCTTTCGTGTTTTTTTTTTTTTTTTTTTATTTTAATTGTTAAGCCATCAGTACACTATAAATCTTACGCAGTGTGATTTTCAATCAATGAAATACACGTCTTTCTTTAATTCTTTGTTAATAGTACATACATGTAAATCTGCGTTAGGTCTATGGACATACGCCAGTATCAGGGAGATCAGTAAATAACTGCTTAAACATGTTATACGCGTTCAGTCAGTTAAACAAAACAAAACAAAATGAAATAAAACAAAACTTGAAGTTACTTTCGTCCATTAATGCCGTCTAGCTAAATTGCTGTTCTGGAACACACATGTCAACCACGTGTAAAATTTCTACTTTCGTTTTGAGAATCGGGTCAATTATTAGTACATTCTGTGTATCGTGCGACATGAATTTTGTAAAATTAGAAATAGTTTTGTACAGAGATTGTAATGTTTTTTAATTCCATTTTCTCCTTGTCGGAGACCTTTGTATAAACGAACAGTACAGGCTGGGTGCTTACCGACTTGATTATGCTTTATTGTAGCACAAAAAGGGGGGGGGGGGATGAAATACTGTTAACTTAAAACTGATACGCGCAAGGTTGATTCTTTAGTTTTATGTTTAATAAGTCATACATGTTATAATTACTTATTACATATTTTTTTATATACATGAATACAATTATTTTAGAATATGAACGATACCAAATTCAGAACTATAACATTTATTCATGAGTGCGATAAGCAATGTCATGTTACTGTCATTCAAAATTCATAAAAGATTTTTTTTTTCACGGATTCTGAGCGATGTGGAGTTTAATTCCCTGTTTCTGAATTGTGAACAGTTAATGCTAATATAATTTCAATAATTGCTTTCACTAAACCATCTATTTTTTTTTTAATTTATATGTACATTTTGCATAATGTTTTAATTATAAGATGAAGCCAAATGTTCCGTATCAATTTCTCGTCTCCGTTTCACGGGCCCCAAACCATCATTAACCGAGATTCAGAATTGAAAATACATGTAGCCCCCTCCCCGGGATTTTCTTTTAAATTTATCTCAAGCATGTCAAGAAATGTGCATAAAACTAACAAATAAAATTAAATACTGAGCAAAGATAGATTTATGTGAATTAAAATAATTATTGAATATTAAGTCTGTACAATGTATATGTATATAACTTCATTTCTTTTCTTTTTTTTTTTTTTTTATTTTAGTACTGCAATGTCCTACTTTGCTAAATAGTTTTTTTTCCTCAATTTTCAATTTTATTCGTCAACAAATTGAATATTACAGGATAATTTTTTTCCGTGCGATCGTAAAGCTTTTCCTGCTCAAAGAAGAAAATACATGTACAGTGTAGGTAGTTTGTTTATTATGTACACCGGTGGCCGCAGACGAGGAACAATAGGTAATTAGTGCCCATTGTTACGCTGACCACTACAAATTACATGGAATATACAAGATGTACCCCGTTCTAACCCGGGGCCGAAGACTTGTACACAATACAGCCAAATCAGAGACTGATCTTCGATTTTTGATCAATGAAGATCAATTTATTCCATGCAATTCTTGACCACACAAGATTGAAATCGATCAATTTGATCATATACATGTACTTTACTAAGTAAATATAATTATTATATTAGGTCTCATTTCTTATTTCACATTCAATAAAATTAAATCAATAAGATTTTAAAACTTACTGAAGAAAAATGTTTCGTGTCATGAAATTTTAAGAGACCAACATCAAAATAACATAAATACATGTGTACCTTCGCTCTGACACTGGGGATTCTGACCATACACTAATTTTTAATCAGCCCCCAATCTGCCGGTTGCACATGTATGTATCGTGTACATATAGATTTAGAAGAGATATTCTGGAAGAATCTAAAATGCCTATATTACGTTTAAATAAATGAATGAATAAATAGATATTAAATAAATAAATAATCTGTGCCTCCAGACTGAACATATTCACCTCTGTTTTCATCTCTTTATTAAATTTAAAAATGCATAAAATTTCTAATTTTCGGGCAAATTTTCAAATATCTTGACAGAGACCAGAAAACCAAACATTTAAAAATGAAAAAAAAAAAATAAATAAATGTCTGTGAGAAAAAAACAAAAACAAAAATGGCTATGTGAAAGGTCATCTTTAAATTAAAAGAAAATGTCGTCCTCTCTTGACCAGTTGACGGAGTGAAACCGTGTGAATCAAACTTTTCTAACCTACAGGAAATATTTTTTATCCCGAATTTTTTTTCCACACATTAAGAACTATTTCTTATTATTGAAAAAAAAAAAAAAAAAAAAAAAATCACCGACCTCCCTACCCAAATATCTTGGAGTCGGGAGAGGGCGGCGATGAATCTTTTTAAAAGATAGCCTTATTTTATTTTTATATATTTACAGTACATTAATACAATTCCATTTATCTTGCTTACAGATAAATTATACTATTTTCATTGATCGGTAGAAAACATCTGCTTAATATACGCGGAAGGTTTCATTTATTTATTGTCAACATTTTCACAACCGTATTGTAGTAAATGAGATCAGCGTAATTTTTGTCACTAGCAGAACATTTAAAGAAATATGAAAATGTCGTAATGATAATTTATAATTAAAAGAAAGAAATAATTGAAGGCTTTTACAGCCCTCAGTTCTTCTTTAGCCCTTCCCAGCTTAAGAACAAAGACCACAGTAATTATCAGTAAATCTCAGCATCGACAGCACATCAACAGTATTTATCAGTATTTATCAGACTCAACAGTAAAGACCACAGTAATTATCAGTATTTATCAGAAACAACTAAAATTATCAGCAACGACAGTAATTATAACAGTAAATATCAGTATTTATCAGCAAGAACAGCACCGTATCAGTAATTATCAAACATTATCAGTAAAATTTGGGATTCTCAGCACATTTTTCGTCCAGTAGTGCAGGTGGGGTATTGACAGAAAAATAATATAATAGAAATTTAATTCACCAAATATTTATTCTTCATCCACTTTTGCATTTTTATCTGAACATTTCTTTAAAATTAAAATTTGGAAAAAAAATAGCGCCCCCCCCCCCCAAAAAAAAACTGTAACAGTTTGTGTATAAACATGATTTGAAGGCCTGTCATTCTTAAGCTAACTCAGGCCAGATTTGATTTAAAAATTAAATTAGCAAGTAGTTAATTCAAATTTTCTTTCATTCAATAATATTTTACAGATAACAAAAGCCAACACTGATTCATGTTCTGCATCTAAAAGCACTGTTCAGAGTGTTGAAAACTGTCCAACCAACGAGAAAGAATGGATGAGAGCTTCTCAAAGAAAAAACTGCTCAGCATTTGCCAGCCAGTGTAGTGATCCTGGAAACTTTGTGTACCATTGTGTTATAAGTTCATCTCTAAGTTGAACATTGGAAGTTTGTGCATATAAAAAGATTATTATATTTGGTATGTATATATACATATGATCTTATTTTGAGTCTTTTTGTCAAATACCATATTGTATTATCAATAGCCTTGTTATAATTAATAGAGAATGAGTGTTTAACTTTTCCCTTTGTAAGTTTACATGTTATTTCCTATTATTTCAAAATGTTTGATAAATTAATTGACAGCTCTTAACGACGTTGGATCCTGATATTTAAAGTCTTAAACTTTTTTTGTCAAGTATATTTTTAGCTTCTACACACATAGCTTAACTAAAAATCAAAACAAAAAATGGGGGTCAATATGCTTCTTTTGGCGCTACAGTACATTTAAAATGACCTTTTTGCACTTAATTTGTGTCTTAATCAAAAATAATATCTTCGACGTTTTCCCTCCAATATTTTTTATCCAAATAAATCATGGGACAAAGTATGCTATTATTCTCTCTTAAAAAAGACACATTAAAATTGTGACCAAAAAAAAATTTCAAATCGCTTCGCATAATCAATTATTTGACCTTTCTGCACTCAAAAAATGTCATTTTTCGTGCATTAAAAATTTAACAAGCAAGAAAAATATTTTAAAGTCTTAAACTTTTGCTGAATTTAAGTAGATTGATCAGAGTTATCTTATATATTCAGAAAAGAAAATCAAAAGTGGAGGTCTATGATGTTATTTTTTAGATATTACTAAAAAACTGTTAATTTTATGATAAAATTGGCTCAATTTTTTCCTGGAGTTTCAGAATATATTTTCTATATTTGTCACAATATGATGATAGAATTCACAAAAAACTGATTTAATTAATATTTTAGTACCATCATTAAACATTTCAATGCACATAATAGCTCTGTGTGCAAGCAGCATGGAAAAATAGGAATCTAAACTTAACAGTACTGTATATATTTCAAAAGGGAAAAAATGATCATTTTCTTCTAAAAAATCTTCCGCCACAAAATATAGTTCCTGGCTTAATCCTATTTGAATGGAATTTAATCGCGGTTTTTTCATTGGATATAGTATAATTTGCATTGTAGAATCCAGATTTAATGTTAGAACTTAAAAATAATGCAGAATTTTAGAAATAAATCTCCAGACCAAAATCTGCTCAAAAGCTCAGGATCGAACGTCCTTAAACAAATTCAGCTTAATATCATATGGATGATGATTAAAATCCAGCAATGATTACACATAGGAATAACTACCAGGTACAACAATTTTGCAGGATACTGCACAGAATATAGCTACAGTGCAAACAGAATTCAGCCAAGTTTGGGTGCAGCTTGTACCAACTTCACCGAAAACCCATGTCCAACTGGATATCCCTCCAATGAGGCATACAAATGTGAGTATTAATTTTCTTTCCTTGTTTTCATAACTTATCAAAGTTGTCCTTAAAAATATAAGTTCTATACTACAGCACAAATTAGTTTGCCCTCTCTGAACTTTGTAATTATGGTCATACATACATGTACCATGAAAAACTCAAGTAGAATAAGATGGAAAGTATTTTATGAATATAGTCATGTATGAAGGCTAAAAAAAAAAGTATGTATAATAAATGTGTGTTTCCAGTAAATGCACCCCCCCCCCCCCCCCAAAAAAAAAGGGTAAGTAGGTAGATGATAACTTTCATCTTAGCTTTTTATATTGAAAGCTTCAGTTAATTATTCAATACATTGTTTTTCATTAAGTGTGCTCTTAAAACTCTTGGATAGACACATTTTTACAGTGTCTGAGACATGCCTTTTATTGACTACCTATGAGAAAACTGAACTAGTGAACAAAAGCACAGTTCAAAATATGGTTTGGAATAAAGAGTAGGAGGGTAAAATTAGAATTGGTCTGGTTATTGGAAACACACTTTTTTTGTTGCCTTAATTTCACCTGTTGACTTGTTTGACATGGGATTCATTTTTGTATGCCTGTCTATGACATGATGTATTTTAGTATAGCCGTCATGCCCATCTGTCTGTCCATCTGTCTGTCTTTTACTTTTTTGTATCTGGATCATCACTCAGGTGACCTATTGCTATCTCTCTTCGTCTGTCATCATGCGACTTGCGTCATGCGTTAACACTTGTACATTTTCAGCTTCTTCTCTGAAAGAGCTGATTCAATTTCAATCAATTTTCAGGGATCGACACTAGCTTTTAAACCATAGTTGCCTGCAGGGCTAGCAATTTCTAATTTCTACTAGCCCTGATCATGAATTAGTTGTCCAGCAGCCGAGTCGCGAAGCGACAAGGGGGGTAGGTGTGGGAGGGGGTTTCCCCCTCCTGCTGGTGGGGGTATGGGGGGCCTACCCGGGAAAATTTTTAAAAATAGAGATGCCAAATCCTGCATTCTGGCTATATTTTTGAGTAAAATTATATGTCACTTCATAACTGAACAAAAGACATTTTTCTTATTGAAAAATTCCACATTTACAGTCATTTAGGGTATTTTGAATTACCTCTTACATTTTGACTGCAAACAGTCTGATTAAAAAGTTCATAACTGGTTATTTAGTATTAAAGAAAAGTCAAGTATATTGTAGCGTGAAACCTAATAATATATTAACAAATAGCAGAGGCGGCTGAATTCCCCCAGTTAACTTTCTGAGGACCTGGCAGGATCAAAATATACAAATATGTGATTAAGCAATATATACAGATAAATGTTTAGACTACTTGTCTTTAATCAATTAGGTACAATAAATCAAAGTGACGCTGACTCCTAAGCGATCGGCTCTTACAGCTCGGCTCTTCTGGTTACTAGCTCTTACAGCACGGCTCTTATGGTTACTGGCTCTTACAGCTCAGCTCTTATGATAACCGGCTCTTACTGGCTCCCTCGGTAGCTTTCTTGGTAATAAATAATATTTAAAGCCAGGAAAGACTTGTTCAGTCACGTCTAACGCTTTAAATATTTATTTATTATCATTAACTAAAAGTTACCTCTGATCATTAATGGTCCGCCTTTTGTGTTGCCACTTCAGCATCAACTTCGCAATTTTCACAGCTCTGCAGCTTCACTTGTATTTATACCCTTGGCCAACAACGCCATCTGGCGGAAACATGACTAAAATACCGCTTGTACCGGAATAACTTTTCCCGGATTGTTTCAATATGAAAAACCAGATCTACATTACAAGGGAAGTCTCTTCGATACAGTCAAAAATGTATGAAAATTGATATCAGAAACAAAGTATTATAATTTTTTCTGTATATCATGAACGTACCAGCATTCTTGTATAGATCTGTGTGAAATGTATTTTAGTGTATGATAAAAAGATCAACACTGACCAATGTTTACCCGAGCTTATCTTTAGCTGTTGCTTTTTCATACTTTAACTTTTATATTCCTTGCATTTAAAGAATTAAAGCTACATGTTACAAAAATATCTGACATATTCAGCAAGTGTGCAGCGTGTGCAATTTGTTCGATTGCAGTCATGTACACACGTGATTCTAAATAACCCAAACTGTAGGGGACTACAAATGCAGTAATTATTTTGTTTTAATTTTGAGGTATTGTCAAAAACAATAAATGCTCATGGAAGCTTTTAAAACTGCCGTTCTATCAATCTATCAATTCCTAATGCATCGTGTTTCACCCACCAACAATATTAATGCTACGACATGGATGAGGAAAACCATGCAACGTTTTCAACATGAATATTTCTTCAACAAGGATAATTTAATCAATCAGATTGCTATTTTTTTAATTAACACATGATGTTTATCTCTTTAATTTTTTTTTATCATCTGATAAGTCTTTTGATAACTGGTTGGTTGTCACACATGTGGATGTGATGTGCAATGTAAAGCGATAAGGTAAGTTACCGAGAATCGCCAAACACGGGGTGATTCGGAAAGTAACAAAATTGGGACTTGTGCGTTTTTAAATTAATTTTTACATGCTCCGAGTGAGTGTTTGATAATAAATTGCAGTAGCCCTGCAGGACAAGTTCGGAGATATGTTTAGTAGACCGACCTCAATTTTCAGGTGTCCCTGGCTAGCGGGCTACTGTTAGTGTCTAACCCTGATTTTAGCATATAGTATCTATGGGTGAAAGGTATAAAAAAAATTGTGAAATTCATGGTCCCTGTCCCTCTGGGGCCTGTGAGGTGGGGCTAAAACCATCAAAATTAATGCAATCATTAAAAATCTTCCTCTTTACTCCTGGACATCAAGCAGTCTTACTGTTGGCACATGATTGTTATAAACATTGAGCCCTCTACCAAAATTGTGAAATTCATGGCCCTAGAGTCAGGGATTCTGGTGCTAGGGCAGGGCTCTGATTAATATATGGTAACATGCATTATTTCTTTAAAAAATATTCTCCTCTGCTCCTGGGTATTAAGGAAACAAACTAAATGCATAGTTATGATGAAAAGGGATGTCTCTTTCAAAATTGGGAATTTCATGGCCCCTGTGTCAGGGGTTCTGGTGTTAGGGCGGGACTCTGTTGATTATATAGTGAAAATGCATTAATTCTTTAAAAATCTTCTCCTCTGCTCCTGGGTATTATGCCGATTAATTAAGTACATAGTTATGATGAGAAAGGGTGTCTCTTCCAAAATTGTGAATTTCATGACCCCTTGGTCAGGGGTTCCAGTGTTAGGGCAGGGCTCTGAAAGCAAATTAATGCTTTGAAAATCTTCTCCTATACTCCTAGGTTTTAAGGAAACAAACTAAATGCATAGTATGATGAGGAAGGGTGCCTCTTCCAAAATTGTGAATTTCATGGCCCCTGGGTCTAAACCAGCTAGTAACAAGTATTACCAAGTTGTTTGTATACCCAAGAGACAAGTGTTGGTACCAAGTGTTACACATACATGTACCAAGTGGTAAGCAGCTAAGTTGTTTGTGAAGCCAAAAGGCCATCACCTATGTAAATATACAGACATTAGGTATTTCTCTTTGTGTACTGTACTTATTTTAGCTTTAGCACTACGCAAGTGACAGAAAAACATATCTGTATATATTAGATACCTTATAAACTAGGCAAGTGTCCATTGTATTTGTATATTTTGCATTCATTACTATTCCTGTAAGACATAGGCACACCAAGTACAATCCCAAGGAGTTCACTCATGTCTAGCATGTTACAATAAGTAAGGGTATTTTTATCAGAATTGTGAAATTCTTGGGCAATATAGCTTCATCTATCAGTTAATTTTGCTTTATACTTCTATCCTTTACAATGTTGTATTATACTCAGGTGACCTTTAAGGCCCTTGAGCCTCTTGTCTAAGGAAGTTATCTCTCTTTTCAGAGGGTCATTTCACCTTAAAATTAGAAAGTTAATTTTCTTTCAGACCCTGGTTGTTATGACCTCATAAAGAAAACAACAACAGAAAAACCAACAACAATGATTCCTTTTACTTCTGACACAACAGTATTAACAACAACAGTGTCTGGACTTAAAGGGTACATGCTTACATCCTTTATGACTATAATTTCTTTTTTTTTTATTTTTGGTTTTTAGCTCATCTGAGCTGAAGGTTCAAGTAAGCTTTTCTGATCAAAATTTGTCTGTTGGTGGTGTTCACATTGACGTCATCATAAATTTTTCACATTTTCGACTTTTTTTCAAGAAAAATGGGGCCAATTTCAATCAAACTTGCCACAAAGCATCTTAAGGTGAAGGGGATTCAAGAATGTTCAAATGAAGGGCCACCCCCTCTTTCAATGGGAGATACAGAATGAAGAATTAGTCAAAACAAGCAAATTCAAAGAACTGTGGTCTTAGTGGTTAGAATGCACTTATTTATGGAATACTGTAACTGTCTAATTTGTGTGTTCTTCAAACTTCTAGATCAAGGTCATGAAGTCAGAAATGACATACCTTACTGGAAGGTGTTGTCATGGGTAATTTACATGTAAAATATGAAAACCCTATCTTCTCTCATTCAAAAGTTCTAACCAGTGTAAAAAAAAAAGGAAAATACTATAGGTTAAGCTTATAGGTCAAGGTCAAGAGGTCAAAAACCAGAGTTAATTATACCCAGGCAACAAGTTGCATGAGGTATAATGTTTTTGACCCGTCTGTCAGTCAGTCTCTCAGTCAGTCAGTTCGTCAGTCCTTTTTAGCTCACCTGAGATGAAAGCTCAAGTGAGCTTTTCTGATCACCCTTTGTCCGTCGTCCGTCCGTCTAGCTGTCCGTCTGTCCATCCGTCCGTCTGTAAACTTTTCACATTTTCAACTTTTTCTCAAGAACCACTGGGCCAATTTTAACCAAACTTGGTACAAAGTATCCTTGGGTAAAGGGGAGTTTAAATTGTTAAAATAAAGGGCCAATTCCCCTTACAAGGGGAGATAATCAAGAAAAGACCAAAATAGGGTGGGGTCATTAAAAAATCTTCTTCTCAAGAACCACTGGGCCAGAAAAGCTGAAACTTATATGGAAGCATCCTGATATAGTGTAGATTCTAAATTGTTCAAATCATGACCCCCGGGGGTAGGACGGGGCCACAATAGGGAATCCAAGTTTTACATTGAAATATATAGGAAAAATCTTTAAAAATCTTCTTCTGAAGAACCACTGAGCCAGAAAAGCTGAAACTTATGTGGAAGCATTCTGCGATAGTGTAGACTCTAAATTGTTAAAATCATGACCCCAGGGGGTAGGGCGGGGCCACAATAAGGAATCCAAGTTTTACATTGAAATACATAGGAAAAATCTTTAAAAATCTTCTTCTGAAGAACCACTGAGCCAGAAAAGCTGAAACTTATGTGGAAGCATTCTGGGATAGTGTAGATTCTAAATTGTTAAAATCATGACCCCCGGGGGGTAGGGCGGGGCCACAATAGGGAATCCAAGTTTTACATTGAAATATATAGGAAAAATCTTTAAAAATCTTCTTCTCAAGAACCACTGGGCCAGAAAAACTAAAACCTATGTGGAAGCATTCTGGGGTAGTGTAGATTCTAAATTGTTAAAATCATGGCCCCCGGGTGTAGGGTGGGGCCACAATAGGGAATCCAAGTTTTACATTGAAATATATAGGAAAAATCTTTAAAAATCTTCTTCTGAAGAACCACTGAGCCAGAAAAGCTGAAACTTATGTGGAAGCATCCTGGGATAGTGTAGATTCTAAATTGTTAAAATCATGACCCCCGGGGGTAGGGCGGGGCCACAATAGGGAATCCAAGTTTTACATTGAAATATATAGGGAAAATCTTTAAAAATCTTCTTCTGAAGAACCACTGAGCCAGAAAAGCTGAAACTTATGTGGAAGCATTCTGGGGTAGTGTAGATTCTAAATTGTTCAAATCATGACCCCCGGGGGTAGGGCGGGGCCACAATAGGTATTACAAAGGGGGAAGTCTGGTTATGAACAGCATGGCCAAAGTTACTCAGGTGAGCGATGTGGCCCATGGGCCTCGTTTTTTTTGGTCAGCAGGAAATTCTGATTCCATTATTTTTCTAGGAATTTCGTCACTTTTCAACTGAGATTTTTGGCCATATCCATATCTTGAATATAGAGAGGAACAGTTTGTTAGCGCAAGTCCTCTTGAACTGCTGCACAGAATTTCATCAAATTTTGCAGATATTTAGGACACAGGGTATAGATGTGCCAGAAAATTCCAATTCCCTTATTTTTCTGGGAATTTCAGCACTTTTCAACTTAGATTTTTGGTCATTTGAATGTCCTTATATGCAGGAAGTTTAGACATGATGATTTTTTTTTGCAAGTAGTGCCCCTTTTTGAATTATTCTGTGTATTTAAAGTGCAACATATCATTCATTATGTGTTGAATTGTCAAGTTTTGGGGGAGCATGGGGTATGTGAGCTTGCTCACTTTTTCTTTCATTTGGAAAGGTATAGAAACAGGTAATGCAGATACCAAAGATATATGCCCTATCTTCTCTCATTGTAAGCTAATCAAGCTAGGACAAAATTCCAGGCCAAGGTCATGGGGTTAAAAATCATAATACATTTGAAAAGGTCTTGTCACAGGTAATGCGCAAGTCAAATGTATATGCCATATCTTCCCTCCTTCAAGAGTTAGCAGCAATGATAAAATTTTAAAAACTAAGACAAACTTGAAGGTCAAGGTCATGTGGTCAAATATCATAACTCATTCCAAAACTTCTTGTCACAGATAATGCACTAGTCAAATATAAATGCCATATCTTCTGTCATTCAAATGTTATCACCAATGTGAAAATTTTTGAAAATTAGGTTAAACTTTTGGTCAAAGTCATGGGTCAAAAATCATAGCATATTTGGAAACATCTTGTTACAGGCAATGCACATATCAAATTTGAAAGCTCTGTCTTCTCTCATTCAAAAGATATAACAAATGTTAACATTCTAAAAAGTGGGCCAAACTTGAAGGTCAAGTTCACAGGGTAAAAAATCATGGTATATTTGGAGAGATCTTATCACATATGAAATATGAAAGCTCTATCTCTTCTCAATCAAAAGTTATGACCAAGGTAAAAGTAATGTTTAATTTTTTGAAAAGTAGGTCAAACTTCAAGGTCAAGGTCACAGGGTCAAAAATTGTAGTATATTTGGAAAGGTCACAGGTAATGTACATGTACATGTGAAATATGAAAGCCTAATCTTTTCTCATTCAGAAGTGTTGTTATGACCAAGATTAAAGTTTTTGTAACTGACAGACTGACAGACAGACAGCTAGACTGACAAGGGGACAGACTGAAAGATAAATGAGATTTAATTTTTCCTGGCTTTTGCAAAAGCAGGGGAAATTAAATGGCATCTTCTAAAAATCTTCTAAAGAACCAACCGGCCAGATGTAATGAAACCTATGTGAGAGCTTCATTACATAGTATAGATTCAAGTTTGTTCAAATCTTGGCCCCCTGGGGTAGAGTGGGGCAATCACAATGGGCAATCAAACCTTCAGGAATATGTAACTAAGAAAAGTCTTTAAAAATCTTCTTCTCAAGAACAGCAAAGCCATGGTTAGTCAGATTGATAGGAAAGCATCTTCATGATGTAGATTCAAGTTTGTTCAGATCATATGACCCCTGGGGGTATGGTGGGCCACAATGGGTAACCATTTAATTTCTATAAAATAATTGATTCTGATTGGATAAAAAATTCTTTTGATAACTGCATCAATAAAATCTGAAGTTCACTTGCACTTAGCAGCCAGAACTACTTTGGCTGACTTTACATGTATATTTACTGCTTCCAGATTACTTTGTGACAGAAAAATGAAATACTTTTACACTATTTTCCTGAATTTCAAAACTTATCCGTTACGTTCCTGAGTTATTTTCTACTTTCGCTTCTTTTCGATTATCCCCCTTTGCTAAACAAATCAGATTGTCTGCAATGAAACAATGCAGTTGCGGGAAAGAAGGAAAGAAATCATCATATGCAGCCTATGTTAAATGTTTGTCTTTGAGATAACTGGTGCTAACAATAGAACTGTGAAGAAATGTTTTATGCTACCAAAGCGGAGAAATGCAGTTAATCTGTTAATTCTTAGGAAACGAATGCACGAGAAAAACGATACTGAGCAAGAACGGAATTCTTTCAACAGTCAGCAAACGACTCTTATAGATTTTACAGCATATTGTGTTATGCATGGACAGGTTGTGATACGTATTTATATGTTCGGTTTGAAATTCAGATGAAGAAATGTGCAAATGAAATTCAAAATTTCTGTGACCTACATGTAGAAAAAGTTGTTAAGGTTATATTTGAGTAGTTTCCCTTTACATTTTGAAACTAAAGATATCAGCTTACCAGGGATGATATACCCATTGGGATATAGCAAAAATTAATAACATAACAGGTTAGTTTTTTTATGTTAAATTAGAACTGTTATAATTGTCAGAAAGGACTGGTAATGAAACAACAATATTTGAGAAAGCTGTTTCTTCCTATTACTCTGCATCTGAAAATTTAGGTAGCCTCACTAAAGTATATGTTGGACAGTCACTCATTCTCAGGTTAAATCTCATCTTGAAAGATTAATATTAAATTATAAGAAATAAATCTTATAATTTTTTTATTTGATCGATATATCAAAGAAGACTTGGACGGAAGAATTCATCAATGCGCGTAGATCTGTACATTCAGCCATTTTGAAATTTAGCAACGTTGTTGTGATGTATACCTACGCACAGTCTTTGATGTGTAAATAAAATATTAAAGTGAAAGAAACTTTCATTTTATTTTTTTTAAATCATAATTGAGTTGCGTCAAGCAAAAAGGGACCTTCGTGACATAAACGTCATTACGTCACAATAGCGCTTCAAAGACGTGACGTTTCATTTGTGCGTTTGCCGATAAAAAATATTCATACGATAAAGCAAAACAAAAATATATTTGCGTAATACATATGTCAATAAAAATAGACACGCCTATAACTGTCCAAAGAAATGAATAATCTCGTCAATTTATAGATTTTCTGGTAATTTTTCAAAAATAATATATAACTAATT